TAAATCAGCGGACAATTCTGTGATCACTCGCTGTATGATTCGCTTACAGGGAAATCCACAGTGAATTGACGTCTTGTTATGCATGGAGCTCTCCCGCTCGTTAAGGAGACTTAAAGAAAGCCAACTGAGTGTAATCATATTTGAAATGGAAATTACAGAAATAAAAATACTATAATTAACTAATCATCAAGTGACATTCAAATATAATTATTTGTCGATTTGAAATTTTATCAGCTGGTTATTTTTTAAGCTAATTGTGTGAGTGGTTCTATAGGCAGGCCAGACATGATTTCCCTTTTGTCGAACACCTGGTGTCATTCCTGATTTTCAGTAATCCATTCGTAGTTTTCACCGCTATTTGCCTTTTAGTCCATTGTAATCTGGTTCCTGGGTAATCGTGTCTGGGCAATCTCGCGCTTATACTGTATTTATCAGGAACTTTGATATACAAGGTGTAGATGTCCTTCTTCCAACATATGTGTTTGTTTTACCTGTGCAGAAGGATATTACGTTGTGGTTAATGTAGTCCCACGTCGTAGTTTGATCTACCGACCTGGGAGGGTTTTCTGTGCCTAATGTTAAGACAAATAAGCTTGGAACTTAGTGTAAACGGATAGCGGCCTGTCTCATCTTGTGTTGTGCATCACGTTTTCGGTCAATCAGTGTTCACCAAAATGCTATGTAGTGGAATGCTTCTTCACAAACATGTTGCATTGCTGGCCAAGGCGGCCAACTGGTGCTGCGATGTTGCGTCCCGTAGGTATGTCAGGATCCGCTGACCCGTGGTAGGAATCCTCAGTTCACCCAAATTTGCCTTAGTGTCTAAGAAACATGGTGTGTCCGTGGTCTTCATCATGTTGTGACTCCTTCCATCGGTTTGGGTTCCCACCCCGATACAACTGGAACTCTGCTCAAAGTACCGTTGAATTCAATTCACGTGTACATCGTAATCTTTTAGCTTCATATCGAGACAGAAAAATAAAATAAAGGTCTATTTAAGTGACGCACAGGAGCGCTTTTTATCTTCTCTCCTGGGCATCACTATCATTTTCTATTTAATTCTCAGCTTTATTGGGAACAAATCAATGTGTTACGTTTACGTGTAAATGACCTTAATTGTCCATAATTGTTATCTTGTCAAACAAGTTTACACCTTCTAATTTATTATAAACATACTGAATGCTTCATATCTGGCTGCTTCAATCTTTCTGGTAAATGACCTTTTCTATTCGTATAATTATTGTTTATGCTCATACTCCTATTTAACCTTTTCTGTCTGTGTGAACACATTGGAGAAAGAAGTGTTTCCGCAAATCCGACAGTTGACAACAATACCGCAAACCGATGCCACAAGATGTCGTGGATGTATGTTTATTTTCTGCCTCCAGACTTTGATGTTTATTTAATCCTGTCTCGCGCTGTTTGTGCTGATTATCTGACATTTCAAAAGGTCTCCTATTGACCTAACCTCCCTCTTTGCCTACGATACCACTTCATCTGGTGGCCATCGCTGATCGATAGAGTCATGCTGAGTATGCGTTTAGAGGTAGACAAAGTTGGCACCGCGTGAAATAAATCTCCCTCTGATGTATGTTAGGAATTATTTTATTTGATATCTTCTTCGTTTATGTGCCTTTGGCTGTTTGATATATTATTATCGCATTATCGACTTTCGGAAAATGTTTGAGCAAATTCAGGAAGTAAAATGCAAGCGTTTACATTATTCTGACTCAAATGAAACAGCTAGCCACTGGGAAGATGTAGCATTAAAGAGAGCAACTAGCTATCGCCAAATCAAACCTTACCATTGCTGTAGATCACCACGATCAGTTAGTAATACTGGTTGAAGAAAGTTAACAAACATCGCTCGGGTCTCTTTGCACGTCGTTTGTTAAACCTTGGATCATCAGTCTGTGATCTTGTGTTAGGTTCTAGACGCCAATCACGTGGGTAACTTGTGTCTTTGTTTGATCATCATCTGATGGCCTATGCACATATAGATTGGTTCTTTTGAAACAAATGAGCAAATACACTAGCTGGATGAGTATATTGGCTCAGGAGATTGTCCGTCTTCGATCGTGTGATTTGGAAACCGTACGTGTCCCAGACTTCGGGTATGGACCCCCGAGGAATCCGCTGTAGGTTTACTCTGACACCGACTAATTGATCTATCATTGGCGATTGTCTCAGCTGGCAGGGTTAGCTTTAGGGTATAGACCCGCCCCAAATGAGTAGACACCAGCAGTGGCGAGATTAGCCTTCATCTTTTATTGGAAGTGATCTGGAGATGGAGCGCCATCAGGGACATTCTATTTTCAAGGAACAACCTTAATTAGAGATATCTGTTTCTTCATCTTGCTCTTTAGCGTTTGGGACATTGTCGATGGCATTTTACTATTTTTATTAGAAGACCTTCGGGAGTCTGTGTAATAGTCATTTGATTAATGAGACAAAGTTTTGATAGAGCAGATCATAGCTTTACAATTGGTAAAAGCGAACGTGCATCGCGATGTTGGCATTGAATTGTGTCCACAAGGACACCAGTGGATCAAGTCTTAAGATAGTTTATGCAGATTTCCCATCTAGACGTGCCAGGATCAATCAGAATTGTTCATGATCTCAGGTAATGCTCTTTTTGTGTGACAGGATTAAGCCATACATATGGAATTTACCAAAGCGGTACAGGATGAATATCGGACTTTCTCCAATCATCATGCTGGTGATTCTTGATGAAACCGTTCCCTTCAAACTGGTTTCAAACCTCACTGACTCACTCATACAATTCATGATGTCCACGAACCCACTACCATACTCGACGTAAACATATCTGACATCTTAAACGCAATAGTCTGATAACCTAAGTATCCGGAATACCAAGGTATGGTATAAAGTTCCACATCACTCAGACGCCCAATACTGGAAGCCAATACTAATAAGACTGGAAGTCAATACTGTTGGAAGCTATGACCTGAAGCTGAAACCAGCTGTCAACTAATCACATCACGTTCGTGCCACTCTAGTCTCCATTTATTATCTCGGTTCTACTAGAAAAACATGACTATTAGAAAGATACGTTATCAAAGCGTGCTAACCTATGTGCAGCCGAGTTGATTCAGTTCAAGGCTGTATGTACTATCCTACGTCCTAGTGGTGGAGCGCAGATGGGTCGGTGCACCCAAGATAACAAGGAGATAACAGGATCTCAGAACTCGTGTTATCGTAATAATAAAAACTATTAAATTTGGCCAAATGTGCTTGAGGCATGCGTTCAGATAGACTGTAATGCTAGAAATAAGTTCAACTGGTTTGATAGTGCGTTCTAAAGGGAAATGTTGTTGTATAATTCAGTCCATGTACATTTAAAGAGTATGAATTATGAAACAGAATATAATCGTAAGAATATGTAAAATATGTTTGCTAGCTTTAGGTACACTTAAATATATTCAGAAGAAATGTTTAAAAAGTGCGTTATAAAGTACTCTTCAGAAAACACATTCATTGCCAAGAGTCTTCCTGTCATGCACATCCGGTTCACACTCGAGTTTTTCAAGGGGTCTCGCCACTCAACGTCATTCTAGCACTTAGGGAAGCCTTGTTTTGACTAGTTCATACTTATAAAACAAACATTACATGCACACATTCTTTATGTGATTTACGGTAATAGAACTGACAACTTTACCGAAAGACGCTGCACTACCTGTATTGGGAAACTGATTAGTTTAAAAACGCCGAAATGATTTGCTGTTTTCTTACTTCTTCGAAAACTGTCACAATAATGATGCAAACAAACTACAAGCTCTTCATTCTTCCATCGTTGAGGAAGGTTTTGTCGATGCCCGTTTCTTAGGTAACACTGACATGCCTAAAGCTATGTACTCAGAGTTGTGAAGTTGTGTAATATCCAATAATTGCCTTGTCTTTCTGTTGCTTGTATTAGTGCATTAAGTGAGCAATTGGAAGGAGTCGTTTGAAATTACCTATTACTGTCACAAAAACAACAACAACTACTACTACTACTACTACTACTACTACTACTACTACTACTAATACTACTACTACTAATACTAATACTAATACTAATACTACTAATACGATGATTTATACTACTACCAATAATGATGATAATAATTAGTCACCGTTACCCAAGTCAGTATATTCTCGAATTACATTTTCAAATGCCTGGCAAGTTTTATACAAGTCAAACTGCCTTTTTGTGTGTGGACTGCAAGATGTGTACTCCCTTTACCATCTCATCCCACCGGGTACCCATTCACTGCTGTCCAAATTTAGACACAATATCAACATGTGTGAAATCTACCACTAACAAGAACATGTAAAAGTTAATTTGTATTAATACAGAGGCACATTAAGAATCTGAGCACTGTTTTTCTACTTATATATCTGCCTCTGAAATTCTATCACACAAACAACTAAAAAGGTTTGACAATGAAACATTGAATCCGCTTTCATCCCTTAAATAATAGGTTTGGCACCAAAAGAATAAATACACAATCAATTTACATACGTTACTTGTTTATTTAAGATATGGAAAGTTATGCAATACAATTTGTGGCAAACACTCTGCAATCACATGTTAACCTTATGGGGATAAACCTGGAATTGGTACCAAGCAAGAAGGGTGGTCAGACTGGGTGATTAGTTCCATCGCCCATCATTGTAACCAAAAATATTGTTCATGACATCAATCACGACTCTGATGTGCTAGATTATTCACAGGCCACATACCTTATCATATAATATCATATACCTGGATTATATGTCATAAACAATGACACAAACTACGAAGGTTACCATACAAGCCAGTTTTTTTTTAAATAGGAATATCAAGGAGCATGATATGTACCACCGTACGCTGTGTATGTCTTGTGCAAATACCATTTTTCATTTCATTGTATACACTTACAGAGATAAGAATGTGAATGTCCCAAAGGCCTTGCCGTTTTCATGCAAATGATTCATGCTATTTCCTTTGTTTCCAGATTCTATACATGCACAGTTGGGTCGCGGAGGAACGGTCACAACAAATCCATCGCAAAGACCACGTAAGTTACCCGTGCAATCTCATACACATGTGCTTATTATGTAATCAAAGGGGCGTGGCAGTTGGAAATGGGTGCGTGTGTCATCCCATCCCACACGCTCGCTGACATACAAGGAAAGAACCTTGCTAACATCATTTACCAAAATGTCAAAGTGATTTTAAACACCGCTTCAGCAAAGACCATTTAAATTTGGTTGCGGGGAATGCTGATGAAGGAGGGTGTGGGTTAGAATGATTTCGGATTACTGTGAGTAATATCAACAAGAGAACAGCCTCTGAATCGTAATGAGAACTTTACATGTTTCTCCAGTTTCAGGAGAGGGTCACGCGTCTGGTTCAATCCCAGAACAGTGTGTTTAAGTTATTTATCAATGAAACCAATCAATAGCAAGTACATATTGGCAAAGATAATGATTAGACAATGCCATTGGGTGATCCATTATTAGCTGAGGGAGAGTACGTGTGACGGATTGTTCGCAGGGTGATCTTTGAATCCAATTTCACCTTCAGGGTATGGTGTACATGGCTTTGTTTCTTAATGTCATGGCTTGAGACCAGAAAACCAAACCACATGGGCGTTGATGGCTTTCGTTGAATGTTAGTTCAAGTTTTGTAATTTCAGTGGAGTCTGTATTACATCTCTACTTTGAAGTGACATATTATTGGTGATGTTAATTGTTGAAATAATTCAACATTTTCAACCACATCATCATCATGATCGGACACAGTCATTATCGTATTATCATGTGAAGGAAACACAATGATTGGTATGCTGCTATATGCTCCTACAGAATACCAATGTCATGAAGTGGGTTAGAACCCTTCTCATAAAGAATCAACATCATGGTCTCAACGCTTTAGAGACTATGTATTAATAAATTCACCACAGTGTCTGCAAAAGGAATGAAATAGTAAACCACACCCTGCTTTTATGGTATGAATTTTAGAGACGATGTTCATTTGCAGTAGAGTTGCCACGTATTTACTTCACGCTGATCTTGGACAAATATTCCACGTTTATAAAACTCCCAATACTTTTCGAAACAAAACGAACAGTCACGTAACCAACTACGAAATGTGAGATGGGTTTTAAATGTGTGTGTTATCTACTCATCAAACTCATTTCAAAGGTAGACAGAACAAGCAAAAATAAAACCACAGCTGTCAAATGTAGCCAGTTGAACGTTTACTTCTCAACTTCTAACTCGGAAACTCGGTATATCAGGCGAGGTTGTTTTTAGACCCATGTTTGAAAAATAGAAAAAAAGTATTTCAGTCGGATAACACGAACGTTGATGATGAGAGTATGGAATGTTAAGATAGGAAACGAAGAAACAAACTGTTTTAAGTAGGAAAGCATCAACGCTATATTTCTTTCAAAAATTTCCCACACGATCTTTTTAACATACACTGTTTACACCGGAGGCCTGCAATGCCGAGGGTGTGTTTTATGGTCAGAAAAAGGAACGTGTAATTCAGTCGACCTAGTGTCTAGTTATCGGAGCTCTTGGGTTGCCAAATACACATCTTCGTGTCAAAACCAACATACATGTTGAGTACAGCTGGTCTGTGTTGCGTCACGTGAGTTGTGTCATTGCTGCCAGAAGGGCATTCTTCTACATATCTTCCGAGTGCTGTGCTACATGTGGGTAAACACGGGGGAAATAGGTCGAGGCTATATAAGGGTCTGGACGTGCCTACTGTAAGAAAAATTCCTGTGCCTACAGTTTTTTTTTTTTTTTATTTGACGTATGTTGAGTTTATCCTTGTCTGGACCTGTGAGTCATCTTGACTATTACATCCACCATTTTAAACTCAGATGGAAGATTTAAAAGGTACTTTTAATGAAAGTTCCAACTGAAACTTTTAATTAGACATGAAAACGTGCTAACTGTATGTACATGGGAATGTCAGAAAACAGTTTGGTGTCATCGATCACATTAGAACACAATCTGTGTTTAACTTCAGCCATTGAAATTGTTAATCTGGAAAAGTAAAGTGACACTGGAAGAGAGATTGAGTTTTGTTTAGAAACAAGAATAAGCGAAAGATGAAAGGAATTGCATCAAGTTCAACCTTTCTATTTCTATAAGACCAAGTGTGTTGAACATGCTTCCAAGTCGATTATGCTACAAGTCGCAGACAAATGTCTCAGGTTGAGCGTCATTGGTAATATCAAGCGCTGTGAGTTTGACCTTCATCAAAGACTACATTTTTCCAGCCAAGCTATTGTCATTGTGATTGCCTCCTTGGTCTGGTGAACAGAGCACCTGCCCGAGGAGCGGACGGTCGATGGTTCAAATACCGGACAAATGTCTTAGGTTGATGGCCATTGCTCATATCAAGGTTCATGTGTCTGCCCTTCACGAAAGACCATATTTCTTCAGCAAAGTTATTCTCGTTGGTCGGCGCCCTATACAGTACGCTGTGGCTGGTAGGGCATCCAAGGAAGTATGGCGTGGCATTTCGTTGGGCAGGCACTATAGAGCTGTCAGTGGTCAAGACCAGAACACGCACGCGCGCGCGCACACACACACACACACACACACACACGAACGAACGACCCATGCACACTCACATGTACGACACACAGACACACGACACACGCTCGCGCGCACACAAACACACACACACACGCACGCACGTCACTCTAGAATTCCGTCGAGTGAATCATTAAACCCAGCTTCACTGCCATCTTACTGTAGACCATTTTATTTTGGCATGCCTAAACCCATTACACTTGGAACGTCCAATTTACGCACAAGAGTATTCTTTGCCTCAATTATACTAATGAAGAGCAGGATACATTTCACCAGACACATACCCGAGCTAAATGAGCGAGCCATGTTTGTAAAAAGTAGCTCGAAAGCGTACACTGTAACAGAGCAGTGAAGATTAAACTGTGGCTTCTGTCAGCAGTCTCTCTTGCCTAATCACCAGTGTCAAGGAAAGAACCTCAATTTACAATGAACCAACAACACCCATACGTCTGTCCGGATTTACATTCACAAAGACTTTCGAGCCATGCAAACAAGTTTGCAAATTGCGCTGTGCAATACACTTACTGCATGAAAATATGGGATACATTGCATATTCTTTTTGTGTCATAAATTCGAATTTTCGTTTCCTTGGCAACCTTTACAGACACGCAACCTTTTGCATCCAGTAGACGTCGACATAATATCTGTATGAATCCTTAATCCTTTAACATACATCCCAGTAATTATAGTAACGTTCTATTTTCTGAGTGATAAGTAGCAGTACTTCATCATAGCACATTTACCCTTACTCGGAGGACTTCATCTTTTATTCCCTTAGCCGCAAGATACCAGCAATGTATGCCATTGGAAAAGTAATAAAATGCGTTTTGTTGAATTCTTAAGAAGACGTGTACATTGTGAACAAGTATATATAAAAATATTCATGAATTCATATAAAGACCTTCTCATTCCACAGGGGATTCTTTCATATCAAGCCATTTTAGCTGCAGTTCATGTTTACTGAAAATCGATATAACATCATTATATCACTTGTTGAATGAATTAGCTCGTGGCGTCTTTTCATACTTTCACGGCCTGGTTTGAACTTGACACACAGTCAGGGAACATGTTGCTCTCCTGAGGCAGCTCTCCGTACCGTGAATATCGAGATGTCTTAAGTGGTATTTTATGGAAATTGTTCCTCGAACGAGAAATTAATGATGTTTCAGCTCTGACGTCTCTTGAAATACTATGTGAGATAATCCCACATGAACAAAAATTACCTTTGAGGAACTTTTTTGACAGAGAAATTGCCATTGCAATAAATTTGAATTATTAATGGTAAAACGCAAGGGGATGTTAAAATTAGAGATGCGCTCAGAAACGAGCATCTTGAGATAAATAGGTTTTCAATCTTCCTTGCAGACGTGTTTTGCAATAGTTGGAAAGGGAAGAAAAACTGTAAAACTGTGAACCAATATATTGTCAATCCATTAATACAAGCAGAATGCAATAACCGTGATGATATTATTAATCTTGGATTTTGTAACAAAAGTGATAAAATATTTCGACTTAAAATTGGTAGTTCTAACTGATTCATGAAGTAAGTGATTGGCATGTTGACAGCGATCGTGTGAATGATGTGTCGATTATGGAGAGGGTTCTGCTTTTCTCGAAAAACTTTGATTCATTGCTAATTCAACGTCATGTCCGTATTTGGCCTCAACGCCAAAACAAAACAGGACCAACGTTGTTATTATCAACTACAAGGGATAGTATGACTTTACTACGGTATGAAACACAGCGAAAAGATTCACCACACGCATGTGTTAGTGTACGTGACTGAAGTTACTTTGATTAATTTATATTCTAAAATACAATGGGTCGAAGTTCTTGGTAGGATGTAACAACATGGGAGTCGATAGCGTGAACGATTTCGTTCCTTACAGACAGGTATATATACCATGTCAGCACATTGTGGTTGGTGCTTTCGTTTTGGTGCCCAGAAGATCTTAACCCGAACATAGTTTGTGTCTTCTTTTCCGCATATCTAAGGCATGGCTTGAACATCAAAGGTAGAGTCTGTTTTATTGGTCCACAGAAGATCCTAGCCCGAACATAGCTTGGGTGTTCTTTTCTGCATATCTCGGGCATCGCTTGAACACCCAAGGTAGAGTCTGTTGGTGCACAGAAGATCCCAGCCCGAACATAGCTTGGGTGTTCTTTTCTGCATATCTCGGGCATGGCTTGAACACCCAAGGTAGAGTCTGTTGGTGCACAGAAGATCCCAGTCCGAACATAGCTTGGGTGTTCTTTTCTGCATATCTCGGGCATGGCTTGAACACCCAAGGTAGAGTCTGTTGGTGCACAGAAGATCCCAGTCCAAACATAGCTTGGGTGTTCTTTTCTGCTGCATACCTCGAGCATGGTTTGAACACCCAAGGTAGAGTCTGTTGGTGCACAGAAGATCCCAGCCCGAACATAGCTTGGGTGTTCTTTCTGCATATCTCGGGCATGGCTT